CATTAGTGTACTATGCTTACTAAAACACTACCTACGTTTCTTTATACAATGTTTACTTTTCCAACCAAGCTTTTTAACCCGTACAATCATAGCTATTATAGAAACAGTTTAAAAAAATGGCTTGCTTCATCTAATTAAATAAAGACCATAGTTTCTACATACACATAATTATTTGGCATTTTATACTAAAGTTAGTAGAAATGTCAAATACATATAGAAATAAATTAAACCGAACTTCATCACAAAACAATTACTTACGTCAGCAAATAAAAGTGGGTAGGCGGAGTTAATACAGAATGGTTCGCAAAAGGATCTTTGTGTGATCAACGAGTCAGGAATTCCATACTTGTGACGCAGTTTATGAATCGAGCCATTGTTCCTGCTGTACGCCATCTGTTCTAATAATGTAACTATAAGTATTACCAATGCTACTTATACTTATGTAGGTAAATACACGAGTAGACAGGCAAACATTAAAAAAATAGTCTATCATGGGTTAATTAGCATCCTTCAATGGCTTCTTTTGTATGTGATACGGCCTAGAGATACCTTGATTACCTGAAAGTAATCGGCGCTACCCAATCTCATAACATTAGAGGAGTTGCAAGTGTGTTGCTCACCTTCTGAGGATTGTAAGGGATGAGGTAAAGGATAGCCTACGGTAACCTTACTCACATAGTGGAACAGAATGATTTTTCACGGCCATTTTCAGTCTGTTTAGGAAGCTAAGTCTAATCCGAGACCTAAGTTAAATAAAAGGTGTTGAATATAATGCCTATTGACTACCTGCAAACTTAGATAGCATTTGCGACAAACATGGCGTCGACTTGGATACCGTTAAAATTTTGAAAATCGAAACTAATACACGTAAGTAAATCTGTAATGTAATATCCTATGTTTACTTTTTTTAAGATCACTTTTGAAATTATAAACAATTGGCTATTATTTTTACGAAGATAGCGAACACTTCTCGGCACGTTGCCAAGATTATTGAGTGCTTAGAAATACTAAGAGCTCAAAGAACGAGGAATCTATGAAAAGGTTTGGAGCAAAATGTAATAAATAGTAAGTCATTTTATAATAGAAAACTAGGGGCTTTTACAGGCGACGACTTTAATAATATAATAAGTAGGTCATATAAAGTAATTCAGAATCATAGCAAAGCATTGCTTGATCATATTTTCAGGTTGATCCAGGGAAAAAGCTAAGATGTCTATCTCTACAACTAGGCACGTGTTTCACTGTCAATGTGTCAAAACTTTAACAAGTTTCAAAGCTGTTGATACAAAAACCGGTTTACATGCAAAACATAAAAACTAAGTGCAAAGAGACATCATAACCAACAATGTAGCTCTACTAGCAGTACTTAAGCGAAAGTATTGCCAAGTTAATTTGCCTTACATAGGCATTTGTAGTCTCATAAATATAAGCCAAAGTATAGAAAATAACACGTTACATTGCTTGTACGTGACGTTACGATTAAAATAACACACATCAACATGTCGATACAATATCGAAAGACTAGGTTACCGGACTTTCTCCGCACTAGTTAACAAGTGCTATCCAGTCGTGTCCTCGCTATCAAAGACGCTATCATATTACAAAAAAACCCGCATCCTGTTCTCGAAATAACCCTGCTTCAGTTACTATTATTATTCTTCCAATACATTATTTTGTAAGCAATATTTTCTCTTTTCGAAAATAGAATGCGTAAAAGAGTTCGAAACCTTTTTGTTTGTGTTGTTAGAACAACATTGAGTCAGAAAACTAAACAAGCGACTTGTGTGTGTACTTGTGAGATGGGCCAAGGCCGAAATAAATAAATATTTGGAGTAAAACGAAGGCTGAATCATGTTGTAATGAGCTTCGAGAAAGGGGAGACTGTACTTACTGAAACGTTTTTAATGGACAAGCGGTTCAAAGTTAAATAGTCGAAGTACACATTGAGACCTGGATGATATAATTACTTATGTATCAGTGAATATTCAAACCATCTTTGTGGTTTATGAATCCGGTACTTCATTTGAGAAGTAAATAGTAATTTAAATAAACACTATACTTAATTATGATATGTATACAAAATAAGTAGTTATAACAGTCGTATATTGACATAATACGACCTCAGAATATATGCAACATTTTCAGAATTTATTATTTATCAACACGCCGAATTGTAGGAATATTATAACTCGAACTCAACATTTGTATTTGACACATGTTCTGAATTCTGAAAACTGGGTTCCTAAATTTCAAATGGAAAGTTTAAATTGAATTGTCACTCACGTTGAAATACGTTTAAATTAAATTTTAACAGTGCTTAGTGCTTTGGCGTTGTTGACCACCTCTAGCTCTAAGTACATACCTACTTAGAAGAGTGGTTTGCTCCGACATAGGATTTATGTTCATAAATACAACTGATTTCGGATCAAAACTTACGTTCTGAACTCCTATAGCTACAGTCCTAACTTTGTCCCATAAATTATGCAAATTTGCTGTCATTCGTGCGATCAAAGTTTCTTGCAAACTCATTAGAAAATGTATTTCGGGCTTTAAATTAAATACTGTTTTCTGTTATTTCTATTTAATGGCCGGTAGATTTCGTTTGTTTAGAAACGGTCTGGAAGGAATTTAATACATGTGTTGGAATAAAAAATAAGCGTCGCTTCAACACTTAGCGTCTCCCGCAGGTGGCTTGGATCAACAAAAACTATTTGTTAAAGAACTTTTTGGTGTTCTTCGAACAAAAAGATTCAAATGTGCGTTAGAGAGACGAAGCTCTTTTGAAGACTTATCGTGTTTAAGACAAATTCAGGAAGTTGAAAATATTGTTAATATGTGATCTGTGGTAAAATTACATTGACAGGTAACGTCCCCCAGAATACAGAACATACCCAATCAATATTTCGATACAAAAATCTGTAATGCCTCACTATAATTGCTTATTGTAGAGATCAATAAAGTTGCTATTAAAAAGTAATTACTCTTCTTTCTGTATCATTTTGATAGCATCTGGCCATCATAATTTATTAAACTCAGTTGGTGGTAATTTTATTCGGAACCTCGGACTAATTACGCATTGGTCATGCAAGTGTGAAAATAACTGTGCTATTGCTAAACAACTGACCGAATTTGCATAATGTAAATTAGTAACTACTTATCAATCAAAAACTGTTACCATTCCTTCATGCGAGAACTTTATCTTTTCTTTACTTCCTGGATCCGTAACTCCAAATAGATACTTAGAGCTCTTGGAAGCGTCGAAAAACCAGTAGCTATTGAACTGCCTGTCATTAGGTTCTCTATTGAACAGTAAGTTCTCAAAGATGTTTATCCAATTTCTTGCCATTTGCAAGTAATGACTTCGGTAATAAAGGGTGTCAATTTCGTTTATCTATCGGTAAGAGAAAGTAGCTAACCTTGTTCGCCAGATTATAATCTTCGAAATCGTTGAACCGATTTAGATCACTGTTGCGATTCGCCATCTTTCTGCTTTTTAAAAGAATAAGTTTATTTAACTGAGTTTTTGGTGAATAAATGTTTAATTGAAAGGTTTTTGAGTATATACGAACTTCAATTAAAAGCAGTCTTTTAGGTTTCCTTTTCTGTAACTTTTTTGCGCGCAATTCAAGTCATCTGTTACTCAACATGTTTTTCTATCGTAACCAGTTAAAACCATCGATTTATTATTCAATGTCAGTTGGACCTGGCGTTTTTTTTAGTGAGCCGTTGTTGGCGTAGAAGAACCGGCTCGACGGGGAGCGCCGAGTCAACAGGTAGGGTATAGGGCACTGACCTACAGTTGGCGGTGCATGAATGGCATCAAGTCGTTCAGCTGGCTGCAATTCTTAATGAAAACTATCGATTTTTAAAAACAGAAACAATTAGACCGGTGTCACATTCACAACCACATGACAAAACACATGGACCCGGTAGACTCTTTGTCGAGACCATATTTCTGAATTATTTTGCAAAATGGGTGCATAACTAATGAATATGTTATGAATTATTTAACGTTATAATGATGAGAATGTGAGACCAGTGCATGTGATACAGATAATAACTGCGCTAATTAGTAACGTAAAGCTAAGTAAACTAACTGATAGCAAGTCAAATAACGGCACTTATCTAACTAATTCCGAAGTGAAAGAAATATAATTTGGAATGCAACGATAAAAAAATACTCTCGTTGTAAGATAACTGTAGTTGGAAGAGTAACTAAGTAGGTAATTCATGCCGCTCACCTTCTCGCAAACTGCAGGCGAAACGTGTCGTTTCGAGCCAGTTGCACGCGCCAGTGTCCTTTTGAACTTAACAAAGGTTTACTTTCACCGACGCCAGCCCCCAAAGATTCAACTATACCATATACGGCCCTCTCAACGAATATTGCAACTTTGCTTACGCGCTTTTTATCGAACAAAACAGTAAAGTACAATTGAAACGGTAAATTGCGATCGCATAAAAAAACCGTAGACGCACTTCACAAACACTCGTCAAGATTGACCACTTTTATTTCACCGCACTGCTGAATCTGGAGAAAAAAGTGTTGTATCATGGGCCCGTTTAAAAAAGTTGGGAAACTTTTCGACTGTTTTCGTTGATCGAACGTAGTATCACGTTCGTCGTGGGGCGATGCCGCCGCGCGAATGGCGACCGGCCGAACTCGCCGCGAGAACAAAACGAGTCGAGAGAAGCGGAGCGGTATGGCGCGACAGCAAATAGACGAAACGCACGAGAGAGAAAGAGACCAATACTCAGAACCGTTTATCAACCCCCCTAACCCCGCTCGCTAAATTTAAGGGGAAGTAAAACACCTGCTTGAAAATATTATTATTTATTTTCACTGAAAATGATCGACTTAGATGTTTATTATAATATTCACAAATATCAAGATCTATATTTATTTTTTTAGAATATATTTAAATTAAGTTGACCTTACATTGAATTTCCTAAAAAAGTTAGTGTTTATTCATACATAAAGTACATACATTAAGTATTATACAGGAAAGTCTTCAGTCTTCAAAATAAGGTATTATGGAAGAATAATAACATGAATCCTATTATAAAAATCAAAATTGAAAATAATATTTTAAGAGAATATTTAATAGATAATACACATTATAAGTTCCTATAAAAAGACAAGTTACACAATATGAGGAATTACACAGTACATACCTATTTACATTTTGAAAATTTTATTAATAAAAAAGCAATCTCAGTGGATATAAAATTGTATAAAATGTGTCTACTTAACTTATCACCAATCTTAGTATAATAGTGGAGTGCAATAAAACAATTAAAAAGTAACAATAGAAAGAGCCAATAAATAACAATTTTGTTTCAGATTTGATTTCAGTACTTATATAGGTAAAAATCTCTATATACAATACAAAACTAGGTAAAATAAAACTTATATCTACGGGGTGCTTGATGTCATGGTTTCACCAGTTCTACAGGGACACTGAGGTCTGGTGTGACCAACAGTGGGTTTTTCTGTCCATGCATCTTAGTATTGTACATTTGTTTTTGAGCAACTGCCATTGGAGCAGCTTTGTGCAAAAGAGCGGTTTTTACAGTCAAAACAATTGTATTCAAGAACCCCACTACAATATAAATGCCTCCGATAATTGAGAACAGTCTTAAAGTAAATTGCAATACATTCTCCCTTTCTTGGTAAACTTTTACCTTCAAAGCAGCCATGTCATACTTGAAGAAGACACCGGGCACTCCGTGAGACCCCTTAGAATGACTTATTGGTCTTTCCAATTCTTTGACAGAATATTGAAAAGTTTTTATAGTCTCAAAAGTGGTGTCTACATCAGTTGGTACAACTTCTATGAAGTATTGGTATAGCATATTTTCATCATGGGTCACTTTAAGGTCTCCTTCCAGGGGGTAAATGATTCCATTGGCAGGGCTACCAAAGCTAAGTCTATGTATTCTATGACTAAAGTTCTGTGGAGTGTCATCAAATAGCATGTTCAGATGAATGTGTCCTCTAGGTAAATGCAAACTTTTTCCTGCAGTAACATGGAAGTTGCCAGTTACTTTATTCAAAGTTAGAACTCCATGGAGTCTACATGCATCTGGTCGACGATTCGGTTTTGTTTTTCTAGGTGGTATCGTAGCCCGAACTGATCCATGGCCTTTCTTCCACAGTAACTTCCAAATGGAATGATACTCTTCTCTGAGATAGGAATTGAGATATTTTACTGCATCAAATGCGTCTTGCTGCTCCTGTGTTAGCTCGAACCACGTATCTTCTTCTTGTAGCTCACCGAAACCGAAAACGCTCTGTGATGTGGAATCCAGAATATCAGCACCGATGTTAGAGCAAGGCATAGCAACAGTCATATCAATGTTTATTCGAAGTTTTTCGTCCATATCGACATCCGGCACGAATTTGAAAACTAAATTACTGTCTAAATAATACGTCACTTCACTGTATATCAGCAACATAATTATAAAAAATGCGATAACTGAAAAAGTGCCGCCTACAGATGTACTGTCCACGTACTCTTCGGGCACTTTGGGGAAGGCATCCAGCTCCTTCACCCTGTCAATTACTTTCTTCTTACCCCTATATCTTAACATTTTCAATCAAAAAACTAAGTTTGTATCAAAATTCACAGGATAGTCGACGTGTTTTTGACTTATTGTATGTTCTTTCTATTATTGCTTCTTGACACAAATTATGTCAAGCAAGTCGTTTCTGAAACTGTCAGTGAACGAACAGTGAACTGTCAATAAAACGTTTAGGAACCTTGCAATTATTTTTGGTCCACAGAGAGTAAATTGATTATATAGAAATGTGACTCCAAAAAAACATCCAAATCCTAGTTATATTCAGTTAATCATTATAATTTATTTAAATATCTAGATAGAATTTAGTCTCTAACTGATTAACAGATTTCTGAACAAAAATAATTTGTTTATTTTGACAATGACAGGATGACATTTCCATTTTATGTGTCACATTATCTGTCATTTTTGCTTGCAAGTTTCGCCTGCTGCGAAATACGGAATTTTCTATTTTTATCCTCATCGGGAGACAATAAATATAAACATTTATGCAGTCCGACGACGAAGACACGTCGTTGCATTCATGCTTCGATTCGCTAAAAACCGCTGTCATGGGGTGCTGCTATAGTATTTGCCACAAAGACACCGATCCACAGGTAAATTTAACACAATTTTTACGTTTTAATTAATCAAAGAACTTGTGTATGTCGCGTAAAACTTTTAAAAACGTACTGGGAACGTTTTGTATACTAAAAATGGGTGGTACAAGAGACTGTTTGATTTCATTTCCCGTTTCCTAACTTTGACACTGACACACAATGGTTATCTTTTATCGTTTTAATTCGTTTTGAAGTAGCATTTATCTAATTTAATACATAAACATCGAGGTTGGGTAATTACTTGATCTATTTATATGGCTGGAGTTTACAAATAGGTTATTGTTGTAGGAACTTGATGGACATTGTTCAATGTTTATGTATCCACTCCATTGTCTGTTTTAGTACCTACTTTTGTGCCTTGATATCCTGTTGAAATCAACATGACTGAAATAACAAACCTTCTTGGTGTGAAAATAGTTTGCATTTGGGCATGTAAACTATTTTGTGATCAGATTTCTGTTTGAAAGCACCTGTTACTTAAATATTTATTTATTTAAGAAACTATAATGTACAAATACACAGGCAGGTGCATGTCGATAAGAAGAGATTACTGCATTTTCTGCATGTAATCCTTTATAAGAAAACAAGAAGAAAGAAGAAAGAAAAATTCATTCATTGCATATGAAAATTTTAATAACCTTAGAATTTCAACAAATTAACTAAGAATAGTTAAAAAGTACTGAAAAGATTTGAAAACAAAAATGGCTGTCAGAGTGTCAAGAGTACATCAGTACATCCCATACTTCCCTGGCTTGTTTGTTTTTCTTGTCATAGGAAGATGTAAGGATTTTTTTTGTTAGGAATATTCTGTAGCTACCTTTGTTGCTCTTTCTATCAACATAAGAGTAACATGTTGTGTGTGTAAATAAATTAACAAAATAATAACCTCTCAACAGTCTTCTATGACATACAATAAAAATACATTGTCATAATTAGATCTGTATTCTGGCAGGCTAACGGTTAATCAATTTTGGCACCTAGTACTCTCTATGTTCTGTTTGTAATTTGTATGAAATCAACAGGAAATTGACATTCTCTGATAAGCAAAACATGAACTAATATCATTTATTTTAGCACAGTACTAATTGTTGTGTTATTGTCAAACATGATTTACAAAAAATCACAACATAACTTGAGTTGTTATAAGGGTTATGTTTATTTAATAAAACAATTCTCATCTTTTTCCATGAACTATATTAAGTGTGGTGGGAGAGCCATGCTTCGGCACGAATGGGTCGGCTCGACCGGAGTGATTGTGGTATCACTCCGGTCCGGCCTCACAGAATACAGACGTGAAACAACCATAGCGTTGTGGTTCGCCATGTGCGTGAGGTTACCAGAAGCCCAATCCGATCCCTCCCAATCCCTAAATCTCCAAAACCCTGATCCCTAAAAGGTCGGCAACGCACTCGTTAGTCGTTAGTCCACGGATTTCTATGGGCGGCGCTGATTACTTTCCATCAAGTAATACGTCTGCTCGTTTGCCGACCTATTCCATAAAAAAACATCTTTCAAAACATATTAGTTTCAGCAAATTAAATGCTTAGATTAAGACCTACTTTTGTTTTGGGACTTTTATGTTTTCAAATCTATCAAATTTCTGACTTCTAGCAGTTACAGTTCAAAATATTATATAGAACAATCCTATTATAAATTTAAATGAACCAGAATGTAGTGGAAGTGTGAATATGAGACACATTGCATCAACACTCACAGGTTTAGGATTACATGTCTGTATCAGTGTGAGTCATTGCTATCGTGTTGTTTTGGATGTTGTAAATAGACTTCTATGTATTATGTTTGAATTACTTTTACACAAGTGCATAAAAGTTGAAACTAAAGAAAAATGTTTGATTTCATGAAAGGGATAAATGAAAGTTCCAGTGACTATTTATATCTAATACTTTTCAGCAGTCTATTTTAACAATTAAACAATTTTTGTTTAAGTATTTGTATATCAAGTCCTATAAAGGGTGAAAGGAATGAAAAACAATCAAGGATCAAAAAAAAATACCCAGCAAAGTTTGGTTATCTAGGTTCACACTCATGGAATTTTTTTTATGTTTTTCTTATTTTATAGAATATTGCCCAACAACACTTTGTGGATCCCACAAAGAGTTGCTTCGTGCGGGAACCGTACCCGCGACACGACGGCGAGCGAGCACGACGGTTGGCAAGTCACTATTGTGTCAACCGTGCAGAGTGTTGCATTTATATTGAATTTACTAAGACATGTCATTCATTCTGTTTCCTTCTACTTTTAAATACATAGGTATTTTCTACTTTGATCTTTAGCTTTTAAATATTATTTAAACATAACTAATTTACAATGTAGATATTCACACTTCAAATAAATTAGTGATAAATATTAATTTATAGTTTGATATTGATAAAAAATTAAAACTTTTTAATTGATTGCAACATTATTATTACATTAACCTAATAACCTTTAGAATTAATTATAAAACAAAGCATTATATTAAATGTTCATTCACTTCTAAGATAATCTTATCTGTGAAAGTAGGTTCATTGATGGATGGGGTTTAGATACATTAGGAACTGTAATATCTCTACTTAAGCGCGATTTCACCCGCTGGTCGTCTTCTATTGGTAGTAGCCTGATTTTATATGTAACACAAAAATCATTGTTCAGTTTGAACCAGTAGTTCCAGAGATTAGCGCGTTCAAACCTACAAACTTGTGTCTAGCTGACCTTCGTACCTCCACAAATATAACGAATGTAAAATTTAAAATTCTTTTCTTCTGACCTTTTAGACCTTCACTGTAAATCCAGGAATACTTCAAAATCAAATTAGTCCAGCCTTTTTCAAGTTATAGCGAGGCAAACGAACACCAATTCATTTTTATACATATGACTAGCTTTTGCCCGCAACTCCGTTCGCGTGGAATAGTGAATATCCTTCCTGCAGTTTTTTGTTATAAAATCTATTCTATGTCTTTTCTCGAGTTCCAAACTATGTCTGTACCAAATTTCACAGAAATCGGTGTAGTAGTTTAGGCCTGAAGAAGAGACAGACCGACAGAGCTAGTTACTTTCGCATTTATAATATTGGTGTAGAAGAATAGATAACCTGAAATTTTAAATGTTTCGTTCTTTTTAAGAACTTGCTCCCTGCGTTGTTCTCACATAATGGGGTTTGAAGATGTATTCGTAAAATTGTAGAACATATATTTTTCTTAAAAGAGTATCGATGGAGCACTTGATCGTTCTTCTCCATTCGAATCTACACTGTAGAATAAGCACCTAGTTTCACTGACGTGCAGACTGATAGACTATTATTCTATTTTAACTTTTCAAAAGTACCTACTTATTTATGGTTTAGTTGCAAAAAAAGGTTTCTGTCTTTACTGGTTTAAGGTTTAGTTGGAATAACTCCTAGATTTAAAACATTAAATTACTGGTTCCAGGAGAACACGGTGAACGAGAGAACACATCTCCTCGAGGTGACGGAACAGCAACAGGAGACGCCGGTGCCCGCTGCATCGGCGTCCACTCCGCCACGAAAACCTGACGAGCAGAGCGCCCTCAACAGGATACTCCATGAGACTGCCACGTGAGTGACCTTCTGATCTCTAGACTACAAGGTGTAAGCTTCATATTGGTGTAAACAAAATCGAATGTAGTAAACAAAGGAAACCTTAAAAATGGTTATCTGGTTTCATTTGTGACATTAAGTTTATTTATTTTATTACGACGGATGTCCAACAGAGAATACAAATCACATGCACAATTTTACAGTCTTGTGCTCCTCCAATTATAAGAGACTACATCATGCGAAAAATAATAACATTGCAATATTAATTAAAATTGTAATTAAACTATCATTAAAACAGAATAAAATATTATTAAATTAAACTTTACACAACTCATATTGACTGGGAATAAAATCTATATTATCAGTCGAAATTGTTCTCTGTTAACTGCCCATTTTATTAACCAAATTAAATCTGAAATCTCTAGATTTATCTATGGCAGAAAATGTATTAATGTAAAGCATAAACGAACCCATCTCAATCTAAGTTTGTTGTAACATCACTCATCAGAATACAACTAATACTTCCGTTATTGTTTGTTATAAATATCATACTCGACAATCTAACTTTTTACATGGTGTCAGAAGTGGTCTCTTTTACAGTATATTACAGTTTTCTATTAACATTTTCAGTAAGTACGTATCACCGAAAGACAATCAAACAGCTACCTTAAAAATACACGTGCGTCGTTTAAACAATAATCTAACAATTCCAGCAACGTGATCGACGTAGGAGCTTTAGGCCCTTACGCATTGGAGGCAGGGGCGTATTCGGAGCGGGTGCGGGTGTACAGCGCCCGGGTGGCGGGGCTCGGGGCGGCCGGGGCGGCGGCGCCACGGTTACTGGCTGACTTGCCGCATGCTGAGCGAGCTGCCCTACTGGCCAGGCCACCACTAGGAGCTGGAGATAAAGACCTTGTAAGATCTTCTTTTACATCTATTTTTATGAATGTAGATTGTAGAATTTGTTAGACCCAAAATATTTTGTCAACATAGCAATCTTTTAACATTCTATACGTTTTTGAACACATTTCTGCATCGGCATATATAACTTAAAATAACATTTATTTACTTACAATTTTCTTAGTTGCTAAACGTTTCCCGGTTTCAAGTTAGAATAACAACGGGACAGTTGACGCGGTGGCCGGCCAATCGGCTGCCGTGTAACGTGTCGTGGGTCTGATTCCCGCACTCTGTGTGATCTACAAATTGTTGTTCTGAGTCTGGGTATGAAGTGTATGTGAAATTGTGTGTTTGTAAATAGTAAATATAGGAGAAAATCCCTCTTTTAATTTTATTAAAAAATATATACTGCCAGATTAGAATATTTTCTCTCCGGAAAGGAGTTTCCTTTGTTAGTCTTTAAAAATCGAAATAGGATACCGAATCACACATATTTACAACGCTATAGTGATTGGTTTGGTAGTATGAATTTATATTAAACTAGCTTTTGCCCGCGACTTTGTTCACGTGGAAAAGTTACTTCCTGCAGATTTTTGGAATAAAAACTATCCTATGTCCTTTCTCGAGTTCCAAACTATGTCTGTACCAAATTTCACAGAAATCGGCTCAGTAGTTTAGGCGTGAAGAAAAGACAGACAGACAGACAGACAGACAGAAAGACAGACAGACAGAGTTACTTTCGCATTTATAATATTAGTTAGGATGTCAAAATTATAATGTCTGCCATTAACAGAACAATATTTTTAAAGTAGCAAGGTACAACTCAAGGTTACATTTTATTTTAGTCTTTATGTGCTCCGTCTAGTTTGACCTTCCAATGTATTAAGCGGTGGTCTTAACGAACTGTATGAAAGTGAAGCCATTACATTTGAAGAAGCCACATATTATCTCTTTTGATCTTTACTCATAACATTTCTTAAGGATATGCATGTAAGATGATGTTCGCAAATCATCATTTTGTGTTTGCGTGCATGAATGTCGTGTCGTGGGTGCATTTAGAAAGAATAAATATCAAATACACATTACATGTAGACCTGAACAACAATTTTTGGATGATACAAGCAGTAATTATTTAGTGCAGTAATTGACCCGTAATATGTTGCTAGGCAACCGGTTGTCCAGCAATCCTGTCAAGTATAGAGTCATTCCTGTCTCATTTCTAATATATGTATTTGTGATATCTGAGAACAATAGTTTAAGTTTATCTCTGGTTAGTTCGCTTATAAAGTTCACTCAATTTTATTTTTAGTGAATTGTATTTGTAAACTCTCTCTAATTTAGCTTTGTTTGGCGCAAATGATAACATAAAATGTAATATTTCGGAAATATGTAAATTCATTGCATTTTCTTACCATCACAAAATACCTAAACGATACAAAATTCCGCATCAAATTTCCAGATAACGAATGCAGTGAAGAAAGCTGCCGCAGCGATCTCAGAGCTCCGAGTGGAACACCACGAGGACTTGGTTGTGCCGTTCCGGGTGCCATAGCAACGGCGAACCGCGTCTTACTGCGAGGACGAGCGGTCCTACTGACACGGACGCGACCACGGCGGGCACACCAAGTAAGAATAGATAGGTGAATTAGGACAAACAAATTTATAGCAAAAATGGTTAGAACTGAATATTGCGCAAATGTTTTTAAGTTGCGCAAAAATAATATAACATTTGCGCATCAAATGAAAGCAGCGTAAACTTAATATAACATTAGCGCATGAATATTAAAAGTTGCGCAAACTTTGCGCAGACTTTTGTATGAAATACTAGTTTTGTAAAACGCTTAGTCGGCCTTTGAAGTGGTGGACCACCTAGAATTGGTCTCTTAACCTGTTTCTAATTATTTTACTATGCATTGTGCTGGTCCCGTGTTGGGTTTTAAAGGAAAAATGGCTGGCATATTATTGATCTAAAATGCTTAGTCCTTGTATGTTTGGTATATTCTTGCTTTATTGTAAATCAACGTACTCTTTTCTAATAGTTTCTGCTTTCGTAATGAAATGTGTAAATAAATCTAAAATAGTTTTGTAAATTGTCTATTAGTCTTAATGCCAACATTTAGGCCTTCCTCAGAACTAAAGTCATTGTTGTTTTCTGGCCTAATTGAATTATAATTCCAGGTCTTTTCTTTTTAACTCTAAGTCAGCCTTTTTTCCATTAAAATAGTAACACAGTGATCAAATATTACATCAATGGTTTAGTCTGTACAAGTCTTAGGACAGTATTTTTAAAGCAAATGTGTAGCGTGTCCTACAGACTATGTCATAGGAAGTGTACGTGTCCCGCCAATCAGATAGACTTACATTACTAATAAGATGTAACTAATTACTAGCAGTCTATTTATAGTACATTTATATTGTTTTTATAATAACTATCGTGAGACATACTAAATTAACTAAAATTCGCGGGTTACTCACTTGTAAATATTGAGAAAAGCTCTACTAGTTTCAAACCACAGAGGGGTTCTTCCTCAAGAGCAGCGTGCGCGGACGTGGCGACGTCGCGCAGCAAATGTTTACACGTGAGTAACCCGCGATTTTTAGTTAATTTATATTTATATTATTCGTAAAACGTATCATAAATCTGGCTTACTTAGTTGAAGTTTTTCAAAGTAACTCGACTTATTTCAAGCCACGTTTTTTTGAGGGTGGAAAATCATCAAATAACTTCTCTTGCTCAGGATGAGGCGAGAGAGTGTCAGACTCTTACTGTCTGAAACCACCACGTTCCTTTTCCTACTATCCTTTTATACTGCCAACGTGAACTTAGGTAACGATGACCGCTTACCATCAGAAGGCTAGCGAGCTTTGTACCGAAATTAGTATAAATTCTTTTTATAATCTACTTTTAAAACATTTTTTCGGTTTTAACTCAAGAATTAATGGTTTTATATGTTTTTATGAATACTTTAAGTAGCTGCTATATAGAACTGCTGATTAATATAGAAAGTAAAGTTATTTAATGTTTTTTTTTTTCATTGTCATTTGAGTGCCATGGCTAGTGTTGCTAGGTACGATAAATACAAGTTTGTGGCAACATTCTTTAATTGAATATTTTCAACGAAATTGTAAATAATTCACCTAAATATCTATCTTATATTGGTTATTATTAAATGTTGTATAAATATATTCTAAATTTCCTGTTTTTTTTTTTTGTAAATTCTTTATAAAATGTCGTTAACTGTGCAACGATTTAAAAATTCTATTGGATTTTCCTACACTACTTTTTAAGTACTAAAATAGTTAAATAACGATTGATAATGCTCATGAAACCGTTGCAATAATAAAACGTGTGTTTCTAGCCACCTTTTCATAGAGTTTGAAATTTGTATGAAAAACTGTATGAGAAATTTTACCATATCATTTACATTAATATTCAATAGATTTAAGTAACCAGTATTGTTTTCTGTGTGATACATGCACGTTTCATTGTTTTTGGAAACTTCTAGAACATTTTCTATCAATATCTATCAAATATTTATTTAAAATCAGCCACCATACTCTTCTAAGATTTTGAAAATCCAAAATACAACCTTACAGTTATGCGAATAAAGTCCAGTTCAGTCTCTTAAAGTTTCCAAAAAAATTGAAACACTCAACATAGCACAATTAAAATAATATTTTAATATTTTTTCTTTCTTTTAACATTATTATTTAGCTTTACACTTGCCCTGTATTTAGTTTCAGTCGATAATGATCTTTATTCCATTGTAACAAGGATTACGTTAGACGCAAACAAATATTTGTTATGCAGATTATTTGTTACAACTACTGTTTATCTTATAGCCAACGAAATAGAGTTCAAAATCGAAAGAAAAAAGAAAAAATTAAAGAATAATTCATTATCATTTTGTATTGTCAGTGGGTCTATCTTTAAGTTTTTCGCAGAGAAAAATATAAATTTAGGTTTATTGATTTATTTAATTTGATGTTATAGAGTCATGTTTCGGTTTCAATGTATGTAAACTACAACTTTGACTAATGCCTATATTCTAAATTAGAACCAAAAATAATGTTATTAACATTGAATTTTTAAACAGACTCAAGCAATCGTGAAGCAAAAACAAATAAAAGGTACGCGCGCCTTAAACCCCGTAATACACTTAAGTAATAACCAAATCAAGGCAAAGAATCTGTGATGCAGATTTATATTGTTTGGTAACGAACTCTTTATATTCGTGTCTAATAGGTAACATTATACATAAAAAAGATATTACTTCAACCTACATTCATCTTTAAAACTTTCTTTTAAAAGATGTTTAAACTTAATAACAAAATCAAATCATTGTGATCTATAAGAATAAAAAATTAATAAATACCTCCGATGTTCCATCTGTTATTTATTGGAACAATATCAAAGTAAAAAAAAACAATCAGCCGAACATAGCACCTCCTCCTTTTTTTGAAGTCGGTAAAAAGTCTAAATCAATCATGTTTTCGAATTAAACTATAAACAGGTACCTACTTTTGAAACGTCGAAATAGAATAAGTTCGACAGTCTGTTCGTCTGTGAAGCTAGTTGCACTTTCCAAAGTGTAGATTTGAACGGAAAAGAACGAGCAAAAATCTCCATCTAGAATTCACCATAATATCTCAATACCGCTGCAAATCATGTAAGCCAAGATCTACAGTAAGGGGCAAACCTTGTCGATAATGATCAAGCGATCTATCTCGTCTTTGGGAGAAAAAGGAAATGTACTCTTGAACAAAAGGCATGTCTATAGAGGAGGATCTTAATCCCCATTCTTGGCAGATAGCTTGGGGGATAGTTCATCGGTATATTAGATGAGATTCCATCTTTCCATGGTGGTTCTTACGGTATCAATAGCTAAAATAGAAATCAAAGAAATATGACAGATTCGATGTAGATGTGCTAGAGTCTACCAACTGCTTCGAAATCGTAATGTTTTATACGAAAATAACCCAAAAAATCACTGGAAAATTTATGTTTTTCTATAGTAATAATTTTTTTTTTCACCAACTTACTAATTAGCTTGTTTTTGTTTGTCAGTGTAAATATCTAATATAGCCTTCTATGTCAGCTTACTCCTTTAAGGGGTAGGTGTAATATATCATATATTATGTATAATTATATATTTCGTGTAAAATTGTAAAACAAAGCAGTCTGATGTGGTTTAGCTGTGTATGATGTAGATACTAAAATCTATAATTTTTGTGAAATACAAGATGACTGACTGAATGTAGTTAGTTTTTTATTGTAATGTATAGAGAATGTTTTGTGGTGGGATATCTTAAGGTACATGTCACATTAAGATCATAATTATTATTAAATCTAGTAAATGTGTAATTATACTACGGTTTTCTTCAATGGTCATATTTAGGGCTGATTTTACAATGGTTAGATAAAAGTAACCTGGGGAGTATTTATAATGCTGTCGCGTCAGAATGTTTGTATAAGACAGTGACAGCAACAATTTTATTCCTCAGATAACACTTATCTGACTACTGAAAAATCTGCCTTTAATGGATTAATAAGTTTTATTATGAAAAATGACAGTGACAACATGCTTTTTTCTGCTATATTTGTTGTAGTTTTTTAAATCATAATCTTATAAATTTTAGTACAGGTATCTAATACTTATATTAAGGCAAGATATTCCTTATAATTTCTGTGGTAATTTAATGTTTTTTCGTGTTAGGTGTTAAAATTAAAACTGTCCAGTTCAGTGTCCATCAAAATGTAACATACCTAAAGATATTCTTGCACATAAACAATACGTGTATAAAATTTTGCTACATATGTATAAAAGAGCTTAACTTCATTTACATGTCAACATGAATGTCATCATTATGTGTTATTGTAATTAAACTGTATTTAGTTTGCATTGGTTCTTGTATACTATAATAGTTATACACGTCAACAATTTGATGTTTTATGTGTTAATTTCTATTTAAAGGTGTGTAGAGACGGTGCGGTTTTTAAACAACAAAAACACTAGCAAAAATAAACTCTTAGTTTTGCGATTTTCGGCTGAATCTTGAATGACTGACGGAGTCTTTCTAAATCGATCTTAGCTAATAAACTAAATTCAAACTTTTTTTGTGTTTTATACAACCTTTTCAATTCAAAAAGACAAGCTTTGGAATAATTTTCCGGCGGCGGTATTCCCGAACCGATAAGACCTTCAAATCTTCAAGAAACGAGCGTATTCCTTCTTAAAAGGCCGGCAACGCACCTGTGACTCCTCTGGTGTTGTGTTGGATGTCCATGGACGGCGCCGATCGCTTACCATCAGGTGATCCGTCTGCTCATTTGCCTCCTACTCCATAAAAAAACATAGGTACCAAGATTATACCTTTAGTAAACCACCTAAACGGATAGACCATAGGTATGGTTTGTTTATTACAAAACGTTTTAAAAAACATCTAACAATGTATTTGTAACCTTAATTATATAGATATAAGAACTACAAATATAGATTTGTTTTATCAGTTGCTGTAACGTAATAGTGATTATAAATCGCACCGTCTGAACTAAATATGTTATCTTGATTAAGGGAAGTATGCAACTAAATACAGAACTATTATTATTATTATTTTAGAATACCAGTTATTTTGTTATGCACACCATTAATGTATAGTTATAAAAGTGATTATTAAATTTCTATTGAAATAATTCATCGTTTTATTTAGCATTTGATTCAAATGTGAGTACCCAGCTTTTTTTTTGTCAGGGGAAATTTATCAAATCACTTCTCTCTCTTCTCTCCTCTCCCCCACTCCGCCCAGGGTTAGGCGAGAGAGAGTGTCAGACTCTTACTGACTAAAAACCCGCCCGTTCCTTCTCCTGTTCTGGGCCGAGGCCGCGGTGGTGAGTTGCCGATTCAATTCTTTCACGGATCAAATCTTTGTGTGATCTACAAATTGTTGTTACGGGTCTGGGTGTATCGTGTGTGCGAAACTGAATCCTTAATAATCATAAAATTGATAAATATATAGGTTTTTTTGTATAAATGTAGAATCTCTATGACTAGTAAAATATATTTTTTTATGTAATAGATCGGCAAACGAGCAGACGTATTACCTGATGGTAAGCAATTAGCGACCCAGGAGTTACGAGTGCGTTGCCGACCTTTTAGGGGATTGGGGGAGGGGAAGGATTGGGCCTCCACAGCGAAACACAACGCTGTGGTTGTTTCACGCCGGTTTTCTGTGAGGCCGTGGTTTCACTCCAGTCGAGCCGACCCATTCGTGCCGCATGGCTCTCCCACACTTAGCTTTTTTTTTCATTATTTGCATGTCATCTGGCATTCTTATATTTTTTGGAAGGAACTCTGTTCGCATTATGTTTGTATTTTCATAATTTGAGACATACAATACATATAACTACCATGGTCAATACAAAATATACGCGAATTCGGTTTCTCAAATACATATATAGTTTGTCCCTAATTAAAAAAATACTTATGGCTTATATAAAAACTTTTTTATCGATTGATATACAGAAAAGAGGAGGTCCTTATTTTATAAACTGTTTGGTTCAATAATGTGAATGTCATTGAAAATGTCAATTTCCAGTCATTTTCGAAACGTTTGCTATCAAAACTAAGGCGTAATATATTTTTATTTTAAGTTTTTTTGTAAGATTATTGTGAAATTAATTATCAAAAATGTCTGTTTTCGATGGTGAAATAGAATACCGCACGGTATATATGGTGGATTTTGATGCAAAGAAAAAGCCGTAAGTAGTAAATATTCATAATAATAGGTACTTCTCACATCATCATCATATAACGGCCCATTACTGGGCAAAGGCCTCTTCTCACACGAAGCAGGTTTGAGTATTAATCAACACGCTTGCTCGAAGTGTATTGACGATTTCAAACTAATAATTAGAAATTTTAACGTAAGGTTTCCTCATGAAATTTCCCTTCACTGTTTATCTCGACTGTCATATAATTCGGCAAAAGTCACATCGGTACTTTCCAGGTTTTGAAACGGCAATTTCATGCATGAGAAGCGGGCGCCTTAACCTTCGGGCCACCATGACAATAGATATATAAAGAATTATTAGTAATTTTGTTAATCTGCAACTTCAATCCTTTTATGACTGCAGCAATTAGACCTAATAGTAGGTCTGTGTCATCTAAGTGACCCCTAGAAAAGGGGGCACTTAGATGTTCGCTTTAAAATTGCATACCGACAAATTCTTCTATTAAAATAATATAAAAAAATCTGAGTGTTATTTGTAAATAACAACTTCATCAACCAATGAGGACCATGACATCCTTCGGACCCAATGGACCATTTTCAACCTTATTAATATTACAGTAAAGTTCACAACCTACTTTCCTTTTATTAGTAGCAGTTCACCTCTGTCAACAGTAAAAGTCCTCGTCGCAAAGCGGTTGACGACAATTGCCTCATTGTGGGCGTGAGCCGGGACATGCTGAAGCCTAAAAAAGAAAAACAAAAGCACCCTGATGTACTCTGTCCAGTTTCACGTGAATACTACAAGGATGCTGTCACTAGGGTATGATTTTGTTATATGATAGGTAGCCAAACGAGTATGCGGATTGAGTACCTGATGGTAAGCAATCGGCTCCGCCCGTGGACGCAAGTCGCAAGTCCAGATTAGTTACGGATTTTTGGTAATAAGGGTTGGCAGGAAAGGAAGAAAGGAAAGGATTGGATGCCCGTGACTTCACTCACATGGCGAAACGCTTTGGATTTGGTTATTGCTTTGATTTTTTCACGTGTGTTTTCATGAAACTAATGTAATATCACTCCTGTCGACCTATTTGTGTCGAAGCTTGACTCTCCCACACTAATTTTACGGACGATTTTCATCTAATTATGTAGACTTTAGAAATTTACCTAAGGGTTCTCAAATAACCTGCTGCTTCTCTAGCCAAGTTCAGTATCGGTAATTGCTAACAATCTACAAAGGAAGCAGATGTAAATGTATATGGAGAAATGAATTCATTTACTTTTGTTTCTTATACCTATACTGCACTTGACTAGGAGTCTGATCCTTTTAAACTCCTAAGCCACTCATACAAACTCTAATAAGTTAAGTTAGAGAAGAAGAAGTTAAGTGTGGGAGAGCCATGCTTCGGCACGAATGGGTCGGCTCTCCACGGCCTCACAGAAAACTGGCGTGAAATAACCACAGCGTTGTGTTTCGCCGTGTGAGTGAGGTTACCGGAGGCCCAATCCTTCCCCTCCCCCAATCCCTCCTCAATCCCTAAATCTCCAAATCCCTAATCCCTAAAAGGTCGGCAACGCACTCGTAACTACTCCGTTGCGAGTGTCCACGGGCGGCGCTGATTGCTTACCATCAGGTAATCCGTATGCTCGTTTGCCGATCGTATACATAAAAAAAGACTGTTTTGCCTGATATTAAAACATTAAATCTTAAATATGTTTCAATAGTTCGCAGAAGATTACCCGAAACTCACGAAGAAATATATGATGAAAGACATCGACTCAGTGCTCATTGAGAACGAGATCAAAGACCTTAAGAGGACTGAATATTTAAATAAATACTGCTCTAGAGGTAACTTGTATAATAACTCTTGCAAGTGGTAATATATCTACGATGGAGCACTCCTATTCATAAGCAATCAATTCCCTCGGGCCTTGAAGACACCCAGGTTTTACCATTTGGGAAACATAGACTCTGGTGGCAAAGAATTTGACTCCTTAGGATAATCTGGCATTAAGGCAAGGCAAGAAGGGAAGGAAAGGGAAGGTTCTGATGATATAACTGGAGACTGAAGGTGAAACGCTTCGTGCTTATGGGAGGGATATCTACCATAAAGCGTACGCATAAGCGCAAACATTTTGCCGATTTTTTGACGAAACGATGGTGGAATTGGGCACTGATTCACACGTCTTTTGACATTCTGAATTTGAATCAGACTTCCATAAACCTGCCAACGTTTTTCGCAAATCTTTCTGCCTCACACTGTAAAACAGCGACTAAATTGTCTGGTATTTCCGAATCGATACGACCTTCACGCGTTCAAGAAAAGTACGTACTCCTTAAAAATTGGCTAAAAACATATGACATATGAGGCTTATGGTGTTGTTGTTATAATAAAAGTTGCCGTCGAATAAATTTCATTAAGCATATAGGTATAGAGACTACTTCAGATGACTTAATTTCCCACTACGGTTTGCTTAATAATGATACAGTCGGGGGTTTTATGTTAAAAAACAAAGCTAAATGAATTATAACATAAATCGCAATCAATTCTATAGTATTAAAGAACAGTTTAAATAAATATTTTTACCATTCCAGATCTCCCATTTATGTCTGTAAACCTGGCTCGTCGAGCGCGTGCCCTCCAAACGTTGCGACTACCAGATGACGTGGCTATCCCAGACACAAGTCATAGAGGATCCTTTCGTCCTCCGAAACCTGAGAAGTATGCAGAGCCACCCTCAAGCATGTCCATGAAACCACGATACGATGATTCGCTGCAAAGTTAGTGCTTTCCTCTTAGACTGAGTTACTTTAGAAGTAATATTATGTACTATTTGGCCTCATATCATTCCTATTTTTGTATGTCATAGATACTTACGCGCTCGCTTTAATTGGGTAGTTTCCTAGGTCAAAAATAAATTAATTCGACGTTTTAATACGATAAAATATTGAAAAATAACTATACTTTTATTCATCGATCGATCGATACACTAAGTTTTAGATATTTTTAAGTTAATTTTTTAAAAATAAGTAAGCTATTTGACGCAAAAATGCTATGACGTCATAATTCAATGTTTCATACAATTTTCATAGAAAAGTATCGTTTTTGACATTTGGATAAAAGTATTGAATTTGACTAGTTGGAAACAACCGTATTTGCGTTTGGTACCTACAGGCCAATAGATACATCCTTTGACCTCCATAGTTAGATGACTATGATATAGGTATACATAGATTGGTGCGGAAAATTTCAGTGTAACAATAAAATAGTGTAACAAAGACAACCTACCTACCTAACACCTAAGTCATTATTTTCAATATCTAATCCTCCAATGGACGTTCATACCAACCCTTGTCAAAGTAATTGTGTCCATCCGCAGAGGAACTTCGTAGAATCCTGAGAGTTAACACCGGCGAGACAACGTACGGCGCATGCCACGGATTGTTGGCAAAGGTGATCTTAGAGAAGAATCCATTTGGGAAACCACGCAAGGAACCAAGATACGGGCGATGGAAGAACCCTTACATGTTCACCTACAGAATATGATATCAAATCAAAAATATACTTTTTCTTTCGTATTGTTTTGGTTTTATTACATACTTAAATAAAGGTTTGAATTTTTTCATTGATTTTTGGAATAAATGTAGTTACGCCATATCGTAATTCCGCTGGCATGTGCGCAGATAAAATTTGAATATTGATTTAAATTTAAATTAATATTTAAGCAATAAATTAATGTCTTTATAAAAAAATATAGGTAACGCAGTCTGGCAAACGAGAGTTGAGTCTGGAAACGGCAAAACGTAAATTTCATAAAGTTTGTATTTGTACTTAGTAATCTGGCTGAAACTGGAATGAACTACGCGTTATAATAAAATGTATTTTTTAAAGATTTAAGAAAAACCTAAATTTCCATCATCTTTTTGACGATAACTTCGCACTAATATAGTAGATGAACGGATCGAGCCTAATAGATATTAGATTTTTACAAAAAAATATTTTTTATTGCGAATTTAATTTTAATCGTTGCAGGTTTATGTTCTTTCTTTAATCCACATTTATTTACAGGGTTTTTTCTTAATAGAAAATGACACCCCGATTATTAGGTTTATGTTATAAACACTAAGTTATAAAGCTAAACTCTTCAAACAGATTCTGACGGAACACTACTGAAACTTTCATTTAAAAGACAACTCACATTTAACTAAAACCTCATTTAAAAATACTTTAAACATGAATCAAACGGACCAAAAACTAAGAAAAATCGAGGCAACAACGTCTGTCAATATGGCAGCGCGTGGTTTGATAAATTTTTGTGTACACAAGTAAAATGCAAGTGGCTTAAAAGTGTGTAATAGATCACAAATTGCCCATAGTAATGAGATGAGAAGACAGACGTTGAAGCCGTAATGGATCATTACCTGACAACCTATCGGAAGGACTATCTGTGGCCCAACCTGCCTGGCAGTACAGAACAGATACATGCTTCGGGCACAGGAGGCGGCGGTGGCCCTGGATTAACCGAGTAAACATTTTTCTTAACATTTTAGAACTGCTCAAGGCATTTGTTGTTGCTAGATATAGATCATCACCTGGATGTAAACGATTTGTTTACCTTTTAGGAATTGTAGAAAAAAAGAATCTGCTTAGATTATTAAATTTGTTCTTACAAATTGCTGTTCTGTTCTTGACAGTGTAAATAGGTAGGTATCTACCTAATTTCAAATTTTTGTCTCCTTAAACTTAGAAACTCAAACCAAAGACTGCTGGAATTTCGAATAAGAGTTACATACTTACTAGAAGTTGGAGAGATTTCTGTATTACCTATTAAGTTAAAAGCTTCGCCTAGCATTTAATTTTAATTCGGGATAGATTCCCAAGAGCCCAATCTGATTAATATTATAAATGGAGAAATGAGACTGTTCGTTTTCTTACATTTACCTTATCACGAATAACGTAGCATCCATTTCCACCACCTTTAGTATTTCAAAACTCTCCGGAGAAGAGTTAGCATTCTACCAGGCATGTCTGCAGCACTCTCGGCCTCCGGACTGCCGGTGCCCTCAGTATTCTGGAGGGGAGATGCCAATGCTACCGCCAGGGAAGGAGGGAGGATGGAGCCGGAATGAGGTATAGTTCCCTTTAGACATGTGAATTGCCTCCTTAATCCTCTAGTAACTCGAGCAAGGTTAACGCGCCCAGAACCAGATCCGAGCGTACGGCGTGTAGCGTTCCGCGTTTCAAAAACCTAACAGACCTTTACAGATGAGGCCGAAAAGGGCTTATGTTTATCAGGGGCTATGAGGCAAGCGCAACAACGTACCGCTCTCTCAACCTGAAGCAGGAGAAAGAACGGGGTGGTTTTTAGTCAGTAAGAAGTCTGACACCCCCTTTCGCCCCGCCTTTCGCGCCCGGTTTAGACAAGGAAAATTATTTGATGGTTTTTCCCACTCAAAAAAGTAAATCGTTCTTATTATAAACTCTTCCTTAGCACTTGGTCAGTATTTAGATTAATGTTTACATAGTTTGGTGAATAGAGGTGACTAGACATACTAAATACAATTTTAGTTAAGCACAGCATTAACGTTCTGAAAACATGTGACATAAGGAACCTAACTTACCGATTAAAAACAACATTATAACTATAAGATAATAATATATTTTCCAGATGATGGGTCCAATGTTGGACCCTAAACTATATCCCGTTCGTGTTGGAGCTGCTCCAGAAACACCCACCTCAAGATACGATCAACCTAATGCGTTCTTGGATAAGGTAAGGAGACATTCTTGATCACTTCAAAATGTTCTTGATTAAGGAATAATGATAACTAGCTATTCTCGCGCGGTTTCACTCACAGATTGTTGCGTGATATTTTATAGCCTAATAACCCTTCCTCAATAAATGGACTAACAAACAAAAAAAGAATTGTTCCATTTGAACCAGTAGTTCGGAGATGAGCGCGTTCAAACAAACAAACTCTTTAGCTTTATAATATTATAAGTATAGATATGCTAATTCAGCGCATGATATGAATAAGCTAAGTCAATCTTTCCCTTCTCCCATCCCTTCCCAATCGTTACATAACCGAAACCCTTAACCAGAAAGGGCCGGCAATGCACTCGTAACTCCTTTAGCGTTGCGGTTGTCTATGGGCGGTGCCGATTGCTTTCCATCAGGCAATTCGTCAGCTCGTTTGCCGAAATAGATCATAAAAAAATGATATCCACCCTTAATGTGGACAAACGACCTGACAAAGTCTCAGAGAGTTGCTGGATGCAGGTTACTTCTAAAGGGCCCAACGTAAAGACTTATTCAGCAGTGGAAGTGTGATGATGATGATAACAACATAATTTTCTTTACACAGTTGCAATCAAAGTACCCGATGCTGTACAGCATCTTGCAGAACGAAGCCTCGCCGGAGCTAAAGCAGAGGATAGATCGGGACCGCAACAAGACGACTTACCGGGTCGATTATTGTGAGACAGGTAAATCTTGACATTCACATCTCAGTTAACCGGCGTGAAACAACCACAGCGTTGTGTTTCGCTGTCTGAGTGAAATTATCGAAGGCCAATTTCTTCCCCTTCCCCAACCCCTCCTAAATCTCCAAAACCCTAATCCCCAAAAGGTCGGCTACCTACTAGTAACTCGTCATTGTTGCGGGTGTCAATGGGTGGCGCTGATTGCTTACTATTAGGTAATCCATCTGTTCGTTTGCCGACCTATCAAATGCAAAAACAAAAACACTGAATATCTTTAAGTACAGATGATTATCTCCCAGATTATTTAGAATGATTGTCATCCTTTCAAAATACGCTTTGTGGAGTAATTTAGCCCAAAGTGTTTACCTGTGTTCATATGTTTTATTTATGTGACGTGTCATACAACGTGGTGGCACAGAGGTAAAGGCTTCTCACGCTCGAGCGGTTGAAACCTAGCAAGTAGCAAGCTTTATATGTACTTTCTATGATTATATAGACACCACTGACTTTAAAGGAAAACATCGTGAGGAAACCTGGACTTATAATTTCTAATTATAACTTTGAAATCGCCAACCCGCATTGAGCAAGCATTGTGATAAATGCTCAAACCTTCTCAGTGTGAGAAGGTCTTTGCTCAGAAGTGGGCGAATAGGCTAATGTTTATGTACATAATGTTATTGTTTAACGCCACCAGGTCCCGGAGCCAAATTTGAAGGACTCCAACGAGCAGCAGACGAGAGCGGAACAGGTCCGTGTGCGCAACCGATGCGTTTGCCCGGGGACCCGTGTCGCGTCGGACCCAAACCGCCCAAGTCTGCGCCCAAGACCATCTCCAAACAGGCAGGCGGTGCCGCAGCCAGTGATCCCAGAGCCAAATGCGGTGAGATTCTTTGTTTATATTTATTTTGATTGTAGAGAAGAGATTTGGATTATCTGATGAAGATTTTACCTACGTGCAACTTAACAATTTATTGATTTTGTTAATAATTTTGCGCAGAAACGACATCGGCCACTCCCCCACTCGGTCGCACGGAGTACCAGGACGGCGTGTCCAAGCTCGGCGCGATCATCATGCGAGACAAACTACATCGAAGGTAGACATCCACCACCATCCAACACAACACACTGCGGACAACTGGGACAATCATGGAATAAACTAATTGGATCAGATACTGATGTTGTTATTTATAAATAATTCTTACTTTACAAAGTCTTATGACATTCATGAGAAATAATTTATAACATTTTGGTAGTTCACAGCCGCTCCGTGAAACAATACTAGGGTATTCAATAAACAAATACGAATAAAACACTTTCGAAACTGATAAATATTAGTGTATGTGTGTAAAGTCAAGTATTTCGTCACGTGGAGGGTCGCGCGCTGGAGATGAGCTCCCCGCGCTTGTACAGCGTGCCGGGCGCGGTGGCCGAGCCCTGCGCCTGCGTCGCGCCCCCAGGGCCGGGCCGCGCGCCCCCGCCCTGCGCCGCGCCCCCTGGGCCGGGCCGCGTGCCTCCACCGGGGCCTGCAGCCTCCTTGCGCGTCGTGCTCTCTTGTCGAGACGAGCTGCGCGTGCGCACTGTCGTCTCATCATGTTGTCGCAACATCACAGCGCGAGCATCTGAAGTGTTGCGCTCTCTAAAATAAAACAAGATATTTGATTGTATTTATTTCAAACTTTATGCAAAATATCAAAGCATCAGTTGGGTTGTGTTTTGCTTACCTGCTAAGCGCCATAATTCTGTCAAGATCGGGAGAGGGGCGCCTGACCTCAGCTGCGGAAGTGAGGGTGACGCGTAGTGGCGCGGGCGCAGGGGGCGGGCTGGCGGGCGGTGACGATGCCGCTGACGCTGAAGCCGGAGACGAAGATCCCACTGCCGAGTCGCGCTTGTTGGATGACTTATTAGAAGACTTGTTGGACGATTCTGATCCCGACGTCGACCGTCGCCGTGGTGTCGATCGCGGTCCTCGCCGGCCCCCACCACGACTGAACGCGGCGGGGATGTGGAGGGAAGCCGTGATTACGCAGCTGTCATCGTCTGACCCGCCCAGCGTCTGAGAGAACACAACAAGATGAATAGGAATTCTTCGGTAAAGGAAGAGACATAAAGGTTCTGTGATGCAAGAAAAGCTGAGTTGTTACCTCGTTGTAGTCGCTGGCCGAGTCGTTGGAGTCATTGGAGTCGGTGCGTTGTTGCGGCGTGCTCCCTCCACAGACCACGCCACTACTGCCGCACTCCTCACTACTGCGTACCCTGGACCAACAACACTTCGTATTCAAATTTAACATCCACAAACTGGTCATCATAATCTAAGACTTTTGGAGTTCTTTTGTTTTTTGTGTGTAATTCTCTGATTGAATGAAGGCCTAGGTCTGTGTGAGCAGTACCTGGTAACAATAGTCATGGCGGAGGACAGAGAGCCCGAGGAGGTGTCGGAGGCAGCCGTCTCTCTCGTCCGCCTGCTGCGCGAGTAGCTCTTCTCACTGCGCCTGCCGGACACAGGCAGGGAGATTAACAGGGTGAAGTGTAATATAGTGTAGGAGAAATTGGGGATATCAAATTAAAGTAAAACTATCTTGGATAAAGACCATCGTCATAAAATTACGTGGCAAAACGAATATTTTCACAAGTAGGTAAAGTCAGTTGACAAATAAAATTATCTTTATCAAATTCTTACACGCTTTCATAAAACCCTGCTTCAAATGATAAAGTGTTCCCCTTAGGTTTCTTCACCAAAGGTCTTGGTGACCACTTACCAAACACCACGGTCTTCCGTAAATCATTGTGACAATGAGGACCACTAAAATGGTCTATTTCGGAAGGTGTTTACCTAGGCATGTTGCCGGGACCACCAGTGGCGGCCGCTCCATGTAGGAACTGCTCTCTGGACCAAACTTGTCTCAGGTTGTTCTCATTATTTTCTGCATTCGCTTCAGCTGCACACCTGGGAAAGGACGATGCAATGAAGGAAGGGAGCACACGCATTCATGTTGTATTGTACAAATGGTCTTTGGGATCTCAAGGTTTTTATGTCATATTTCAAGTGGTCACGGTAACTGTGGCCTTCTGAATGATTATTTACAAAGGGTCTGATGATAATAATGTAAAGGGTGAATACGGAAGAAAAATGGGTTTTGACTTAACCTGATGTTTATTGTGGAGTTCGTAAAACCGCTTCACAGAAACATAAACATACCTACATTTTTGTTAGTCAAGAGTCAAACAAAATCTACAATGATCATGCACTAAACACAACAATACGAATTACATACTTACCTACTTATAGTAGAACAGTATCAGCAAAGCACAGCTCACAGACTCTAATAAATGTAGAAAACCTCACATAAGCCTGTAGCTTACCTGAGTTCTGAAGAGCAAACTTATCAGCTTTTTGAAGATCCATGTGATCTAATGCAACATGCGAAACAGGCAAAGTCAAGCATTACCCCGCATCATCAAAGGAGTTACGAGTGCGTTGCCAGCCTGATAAGGGTTTCTGATATTCAAGGATTGGGAAGGGATGGAGAGCGACTGGGCCTCCGGTAACCTCACTCACATGGCAAAACACTGATTGTTTCACGCCGGTTTTCAGTGATGCAGTGGAATTCGTCCCGAAGCTTGGTTCACCCACACTTCCACTACAATGAAGCTAGACAACACAAGGACACTGGCAGCAGTAGAGACTAGTAACTTACTCAGCCCTCCTGAGCAGCAAGGAGTCGAGGTGCGCGGGCGCGGTGTGCGCGAGGTGTATGTAGGCCTCGTGCAGCAGCTCGGCCGGCAGCGTCCACAGCTCGGCCTGCTTCTCCACCAGCTGGCGCACCACGTTGATCACGTCCGCGCGCTCCGACAGCTGCTCCACGCTGGAATTGTTACAAGAGCTCGTTCATAATTGGGTTATAGCTAGGTACTGGGTCTTATTTAGGCATTTTTCTTTCTGAGTGACAAATATTGGCCAGGTAATGTGTCAGAGGATTGGAAATCGACTATCAGGAACCTTCAATTGACTTTAGAATTTAAATACCAGGACAGATAATATTTACTGTGTATTACAACTAAAATCAGATTGAAACGTTCTTCGTAAAAAATAAGACGTCATATGTTGCGATCTTATACAAAACTCAAAGAATGGTATCGTTTTTTATGGTTCATTTATAAAAATTCTATTTAAATCTCGAGAACTACTGGTCCGAATTGGCTTAATTTTGGTCTTAAAATATTTGTGGGAGTCCAGGAAGTTTAATAGGTCAGAAAACATTAAATATTGAGGCGGAACGAAGTTAGCCGGGTCAGCTAGTATTTCAATAAAGATATTAGATTTTATACTTGGAAAATATCGTAATTTAATCAGAAACACAAACCTTGCAGGCTCATTAGGTTTATTTCTATGCAATATGTTAGGTGCAAAGATGGTTGCCAGGTTGGCGGCGTCCATCTTGTTCCCAGGCTCGTGGTCGTCTTCAGAGTGGGCGGCCAGCTGCGCCAGGAATGACAGCAGCGCATTCAGGGTGTCTCTATGTGCTGCTGGTAGTAGCTGAACTATTAGCCGCAGAGCTTCCCATTGGAAGCGGCGGTTGTGGATTTCTGGAATGTTAGAAGGTTTTTGTAAAGTTGCTGTTTCAATGTTGAATGGTTTTTAATAATAATAATCTCTTTATTCATCTCAAACATTGTTTTTATACAACACTGGAGACAGTCCCAGTAAGTTACAAATTTGCACTTGTGTTGGGATAAAAAAATACTTTGTTTTTAAATAATTGTTTTCTGTTTGATAATTTGAGATTTAAAGAATGACGGTTTGCCCTTTTGTTTGACTTCTAAATGTGCTTATAGTGGTCTTATTGAAATAAACGAATTTACTTTGACTTTCTTATCAGTTTTAAGCATTATTCTTTTGAAATGTACCCTGATATAAACTTTGAAATGTGCTCTTGATCATGATGAGTTCATTTTTATCGTTATCATTTACAAGACCTTGGTTTTCATTCTTCTCTCTTTTTTGTTCTATATACCTTATTATTACTTTATGAGCAAAATGTAAATTGAATAATTTTTTTATTCGATTACTTACTTTGCGTGTTCAAAAACGCAGGGTACAAGTCCCTGCAGAGTAATGGGTCAGGAAGGTCCCTCAGGAACTCCTTCAGCAGAGTGGCGACATCGTGCGGACACACTGCTGCATCTAGCGCTGCTTCCTGACTTCGCTCCCAATCTTCACGCAACTGGAAATGGATCACACATCACAAATTACTATAAAACCAGACTAAGTGGATTTCTTAGTTCTTATATCCCTATGTCTGCTAAAATCTTTAATACTACGCAACGGATTTTGATGTGGTTTATTTAATGGGCAGAGTGATTGAGAAGGAAGGTTTATATGTATATTAAGATCCATTCAATCGTGGAAAAATTTAGTATTAGCGTTGCTCCCGAGCGAAATTGGGGCTGGGCCCTAGTTGAGTTATAAGGCCGCCCCGCCTAGCGCAAGGACTTTGCTGTTTGCGTTAAGGGCTTAGAGTACCTGCACGAAGACCTTTCCGTGCGCCTGCGTACTTGTGGAGTGGATTGAACTAGTGCCTACTCAAAGTTGACAAAACATTATTTTACGAGCTGCAGGTGCATCTTAACACTACGAATATTTATAAGACTTATTTATTTTTATAATTCTTAAAACAAAACCTGCCTTGATGTCTCCAACTATGTATTAAAAAAGAGGTATCAAAAATAAGCTTTGTATAAATATTTCCAGCCGTAAGTATGCCAGCAATCAGCACGAAACTTAATACACTAGGCAAACAATAGCAATTAGAAATAAATGTAGCAACTAGGTTACCGAGCCACTCCACTACAATGCCTTACGTTTGTGAAAACATCTAATTTGGTCGATCCCTGTTTTATTCTCACAAACCGTGTTTATTCCTGACTGTAAACTTGTGACTGGCTCTGATTTAGTGTTGTTAATTCTGTCATAGCCTATACAGTACTTAGCTAGCACGTTGATTGCTCTGTGTAGATTTTTGGCTGCTCCAAATGGGTGTAGATAATGCTATTGTCGCTGATTATCTATTGTTACATTTTAAACCTCAGACATTTTACGT